ATTAATATGTTACTATATTTTACATATATAAATTTTATATCTATATATATATATTTAAATTGAAGATAAGATAGCAGAGATCCTTGTGAAATATTAAATAAAAGTTGACCCGGTTCTCTTTTTTTTACGGAATATCTTACGGGATCGTAAGAATATATGAAAAGAGTAAGACTCTCTCGATATATATTTTTTAATTATAAGATTTGACATCGATATAAAACGTGGGATATGATCGTACGAAGTATCGAAATGAAATAAGTAACACAACCGTCGTGGAATCAGAATCGATCGCTTTTCTTTGTCGATGCTGGTCGTTTGTCCGTTCGTTCGTTTTAGTTTTGTAACAATGGGGAAAGGTCCTTCTCGCTGTCGTCGGCCCGACGAGAATATATATTTTCTTCGTCGTATGATTAATCGGGGTCGCGGCTCTCTGCATCTCCTCTCGCCGCAGATAATATGATGCGGCTAATTCTTTTTCATCGATCTCTCTTTAAAAGTCCTTTATTTCAAGTTTTGCGCATTGGAATAACACTCAATTATTTCACATCACCATATTTATAGCCACTTATTTTATAATTTACATTTATCAAATTCTCTTGTCAAGTAAAATCTTGTTATTAACTAAAGCGTGGAAATTATGTTTAATCACTACTGATTGATATAAGAAATAAGATCACGCGAATACAATATAAAATTGTTCATTGCTTTTGGAAAATTAACTCAATTTCGAATTTTTACGATGCTCTCGTTATTTTTTTTTAGATGACAAAAGAATATTAACAAATATTGAATCTTTAATAATTAAGATTTAAGCAGAATATTATGTCGACATTAATTTATATATATATGTCAAATCATCCTGTTTATTAACGCGTAGATTTTATTTATATTCCGGTTCATATATAATTGAGAGCGAATTGTACTTGGACCTTTTGTGCAAAAATATGTTTTTTAATAAAATTTGCCGAACGTGGCAACGACCAGATAATCCAACGAGCCTGACCTTTCCAATTTGATTAGGTAATGTCAATAAGGTCGGTTCAATGTTAAACATTCGATATACCGTCTTCAAGGGTGATACTACGGTTTTAGAATGAGAATTTCACGCGCCAAATCCAGGACATTTTATCATCCAGATTAAAATAAAAATCATGCACATAATTCCTTTAAAAAAATATATATTAATTCTAAACTTTATACATAGATATACAAAATGAAATATATAACGAAAAATTGAAATATAAAATTTGATTTACAACGAAGAGACGAATTAAATAGATAATATTTGATCCACGAGATATTCAATAATATGTTTCCATTATTTTTCAAAGAACAGAACATACAAGAAAATCTCAGATACAAAATAACATATTTAACGAAATGTCTGCGTTTAAACGAATACTCGTGTTGATTCATAGGCGGAAACTTAATTTGGATCTCTTTTTTTTTTTTTTTAGTTTTAAAGTACAGAAATATTATATATGTTAGTCATATGGTTATACGATATCTGGACTTTGTCGGATGAGCGCACAGTCACGAGTTAAGATCAGATCGGTGTTGCCGAAGCGCGCACGTGATATTTCTGAGGTTTCGTATACTTGCACGTTCACGCGACACACGTGATTACTCAGCGGCCGCGTGGACAATCGAGTTACGCATCAAATCGTCACGATCGGCCCATATTGCATCGTTCTCGAGGTCAGACAATGGTCCGATTGAGAGCGCGAGAGCGTACGTGCCGCGTGTCGCATTTCGCTCTAATTAATCGAAAAACAGGGTGTAACAAAAATAGTTCCGGAGCAGTCTGTCTGTCGAAGTGAACAAAAAAGTGTTTATAAACATATGTGCTAAAATGCCTCGTTTTGTTATAGTTTTGTTTGGCTTGAAACTTCAAAAAATTACAAAGCGTATTATTTAATTTTCAACAAAATATCAAATAAATATAGTAAAAAATAATTCTCATAATAATTCATTCGCGAGCAATATCGGAGCAAATTGTTTTCCAAAAATTATCTATAAGCAGCACCTGTCAAGTGTTTTGACAGGATAAAAGGACCATTAAAGGTCATTTTTCGATATATGTTTATATGAACTCTTGGATGTTTATACGAACTCATTTTAATGAGTAGAATAAACTTGAAGTGTCCACATTTTTGTTACACTCTATATGTGTATCGAGACGCAAAATATTTTGGACTTGGAGAGAGCGGAAGAAGAACTTCCGGGAAAAAGAGGAGAAATTTTGGAAATTATCATCCTCGAATTATAAACCAAATATTATTGATAAAATTGAAGTCTCTAGAATCATGATGCACGCGTTCTTTAATTCTACCATGATCTCTCCCTATAATTTCCGATTATAATTCTCCCTATAATTTCCAAATTAAACTCTCCTTATAATTCCCGATTATTAAAAATAATACTTTTATCTGCGTGAAAACCAAAGAGAGAAAGAGAGAGGAGAAAGAGTAACTCGCAAAATAATTCTCTTTGCTCTTATTAGCTCTTTCTAGCCTCTTTTCGCTTTCTTTTTATATGTATATCTCTATCTCTTTCTTGCTCTTTCGTACATGCAGCAGTGTCCGTCACTTCGTCCGTGCGTGAATGCGTGAGAGTGCGTGAACCACCACTAACGACGAGTAGATAAGAGCATATGTAGTTATTTTTGTAACGCACCGGCTAGCAACAGTTTCTCAGTGTCATCGTGCCTTGTGTCCTACGCCGAATCTTCCGATTTTCATTGCACGATTATGCAAACATGTCATTCAGTTCGAAAAAAGGACTTGCAACTGAAACAATCCATCTATTTTTTTTTTTTTTTCATTGACAGGTTTTTGGAACCATGAGATTTTCCATTCCTTACATCAATTTACATTATTATATTATAATGTAATTTATTTAATTATTATATTTAATTAATATTGCATTTTATGTAATAGAATATTCTTATAATTCAGAACTGTTTTTTAAAGACAGATTTTTTTTATCAGTTTTCAGAAACTTTTTCTTAATAAAGAATTTACAATTATAGAGGAATAATATTATTTCTTCAAACTTTTCAATGTTTGATATCATTTTTTTAAAAAATAAGTTACAGTAACAAAAAATAAAAAAAAATGTATGCTACTATTTTTTTCAAATCAGTAATAAAAAATAAAAAATACTTGACATAACTTTTTTAAGGAAAAATAAGTCATAATAAAAAATAAGAATATTTGACATAATTCTTTTATATATAGAAAAAGAAGTCACAATAATAAATTACAGATTTAAAATCGTAATTCCCACACGCTGAGAGTAAAGAGACGATAAGAATAAAAAAACGATTAATGTTTTCTTTAAAGCGGATTCCGAAATATTTGATAACGCGACGCGGATCTTCGATAAGATGCGTCCCGCGTTGGATGAAACTGTTGAATGTGTTTCTCTAAAATATTTCGTTTATAATATACTTAGTATGGTTTCATGATATCGTACATATGAGAGATATATACGTTTGTACATAATACGTGAAATCGCGTGTATACGGATCTAACATTTCGGAATCTTGTAACATTGCGTAACTTCTTGTCGATCAAATGTATACTTGTTTTCGTTCTTTATAAAGTAGACAATTTACGACCAAAGAGATATAATACAAAGTAGCAATATACGATACGCTTCCATCCTCATCAATTACGTCGTATACATTTTTTAATAATAGAAACGACATGTAAAAATTTGTGACAGTTAAATGCAAAATGTCAAGTCTGTTTATGAGCATATTTGGTTTTATAAAAATTTTCTCATGCGAATTTTTTTTCATAAATTAAAGAAATGGAAAATTTAAACTTTATTTTAGAGACAATAGAGATAGCTAATTTTTTCATTATGCATCTTTTTAATTAAAATTTGCAATAGTCAAATGCAAAATGTTAGTTTTCTGTTTATAACCATAATTTAATTTTATAAAAGTTTTCACATTTTGTTTCGTAAGTCGTAAATTTTTTCCTCTAAATTAAAGAAAAATGGAAAATTTTATTTACGTATATTTACGTATATTTACGTATGATTTACGTATAATTTATGTATATTTGAGACTCCGTATTCTTGGAAGGTTTGCAAATGACAATAGAGATAACTAATTTTCTATTAATATTATCATTTACATTTATACATTTCAAAAACGTCATTCAACTCATATCTGATGTTATGTACAGTTATGTGTAAAATAATAGTACCGGTTAAAAAAATGAGAGGAATTTGTATGTTTCCTTCATCATGTTTAACTGTCTTGACTATATATCTAGGATTAAAATCTGACTTTCGGGTGAACTGACGAATACCAGGAAATCCTTTAATAATCACTTTTCGATAGTGGAGGAAATATACAAATTTTCCTCATTTTTTCAATCAGTGCCAATATTTTGCACATAACTGTATATATCAGTTATCAATTTTCTTTAGGGCAGGTACGGATTTTAAGCTATCACGTCCTGTCCAAAGTCAAGGTTTTTAGTTCTAGTAATAAAAACCAGCATATTTATAACATTCCGAGCAAAAGATAATCAACAAATCTATTGTGACAGTTGTCATACATAGTACAAAATTCTTTGTTTAGTTCCTTTCTATCAATATTATTATATACATTTACTCGTAAAAAAAAAACGTTATTTAATTCCATATACATATCTTCTGTCGCAGTTAAGTTTTCTCTAACAGGTATACTGTATAGATACTTAAAGTTCCATCATTACTAAAGGATACTTTGTATAGCTACTTTCTAAACTTCTTGGGGTGAAAACTGACCAGTGTCACTCCACAAGAGTGGAATTTGATTCTTTTGGAGTCATTTCAAACAACGTCATATATATCCTCTGTCAGCAGGTATACTTAAAGTCCTATTCTTTACTGCTAAAGGATACTTTTGGATACCCATTGGAAATCTAATTAGGATTTTTAGTTCTAAGAATCGAAACCTATGAACAAAAGGTAGCAAACGTTTTGACGGTTGTGCGCAGTGCTGATCGAATATGTCGGGGCTGCGGAACCGGCGTCGCAGTCCAGCAGAGAGGCAGTCGTCAAGCAGGAGGAGGGGAAGGCGATAAAGACCGAGGACGTCATCGAGAATGAAGTAGACCGGCAGCAGGAGCAAGAGCAGGAGCAACAACAACAACAGGAGCAACAACAACAGCTGGCGACCTACGTGGCGACGAGCGAGGAGACCGGTGAAGAGGAGAGAGGTGTGGGCGTGCTGGAGGCGGGACAACCGGAAATGGAAAATGGCGTCATGGTACAGCCAACCGGTGCCGAAGCAGTCGCTATTGCGGTCGCCGCCGTCGCCAACGACAATCACGCCGACGAGGATCCAAACCCGACTTATACCCTTCACGAGCTGGGCTACCATCCCGCGCACATAATCCATGAGAGGTGAGCGAGCGACGTCCTGATTGGATGTCCTGGACGTAATTTAATCGCGTTTTTTATTCGCACCCTGTATGTACTTGTACTTGCAGAATGTCAAGAATTTTTCGTTTCATATTTTATTTACCCTCCTTTTTTTTTTTTTTTTAGAAACTTAACATTTTTATTAATCAAACCCTGATGAGGAAAATAATCATATTCATCAGTCTTAATTTTTTTGCTAAATTAAATCAATCTACTAATTGCAAAATTCCATTATGCATTAATAAAATATTTTTTCCCGTTTCTCTTTAACCCCTGAAGTTTCGGGGGCGGCGACATGAGAGAAGAGCAGCAACAGGTTTCGCAGCCGCCCCACCAAACGCACCACCAACAGCAACATGAGACGCACCACCACCGTCAACAACAGCAGTATATTCAGCTTGGGGCAAGAGAAGTCCCGATTCCTGAGGGTGGGGATAACCGGCCGTCGACAGAGGTCTCCGTCGCATCGGAAGGACGCCGTACCAGTCATATGTCTCACTCCACGATGCATCGTTACGGTACGGAGACGCTCTCGCCGACGACGACAGACCATCATCATCATCACCAGCAGCAACAACAACAACAACAATCACAGCCGCATCACCACCTGTCCGAGGTGCATCAGCACGTCGTCGCTCTTTCGTCCGCTAATCGTCACCTGGACGATCCGCAGCAGCATCAGCATCACCAGGAGACGGACGAGGACGTGGACCGAGGCGTCAGCGGCATCGCCGCGGCCATCAGGAGCGTCAGGGGCGATTATCTTGGATTCTTCACGAATCTCGCTTCCTCCAACACCACATCCAGCAACACTGGTAGCAACCATCATCATCATCATCATCATCATCATCACACGTCGCACCACCTGGAGGACGTTCTCTCCGAAGAACCGTATCTGCAAATTCGCGGGGCTGCACTACCGACCAATAGTGGTGGCGGCAGCGGTGGTGGCGGTGGTTCACCGTCGATGAGGACCGTCGGTGGTTCCCCAACTTCCAGTCACAGTCCGCACGACGATCAGGGCCTGTCGTCGCCGCATCGACAGGCCCAGGAAGCTGGTTACAGTCCCACCGATCAGGGCAGACTGCAGTCTTTCACGCATCTCACGACGATGCAGCCACCGTCGGTGCAGACTAATCACGGGCTGCAAGAGGCCGAGCGAGTATCGGATCAGCTGTACATGGAGTCGATCTACGCGCATCACGCGACCGCTGGTACACCTCATCATCATCATCAGGATCAGCACGACCACTCCGCGCCGCATTCGCCCAGTCCACTTTCCAGGTTAGTCCACTTCTCAAGTTATCGTTATCGTTATCGCGGATGGATATGCACATGTGTGATGAGCGAATCGATTTTCAAATCGTCCGGAATTGTTGTCAACATTTAAAAAGATCAATTTTCGTCTCGTAAAAATATTTCTCATCGCAAAGCAAACATTTTTTTAATGTTAATAAATTATGATAAATTCAGTGAACAAAAACAGTGACGCAATAATGACTGTTCTGAGATGAGAGCAGATTGACGGCGATTTAATGTCAACTTGCAGCACCGTTCGTTGACATCTTCGCGACGTTTTCCTACGGAGATCTGCGGTTTCTTTCGCGTGGAAAATAAAAACTTCGCTCGAAATAATTCACGTTTTATCGGGAATTGATTGAGCATTCGCTGTTTCTTCGAGACATAATACGATATGATATGACATATGTATGTGTCACGTCCTGTCTCCGGTGCATAAAAAAGAATTTTAATTAACAGAAACTACAAAGTTGCGATAGGCGTGTTTTTTTTATGTAGACTGCATTAATATACAAATGATATTAAAAATTTTATTAAAATGATGAACTTGCTTTATACAGATAAATATGAAAATGATGTCGACGTTTTTGTAGCCCGACTAATTCTAAACATACTGATGAATATAATCAATTTATATAAAAATATTATAACGTTATATAATATGATAATATATATAATTATCATTTTATATAATATATTAATGACTGGACACGATTGATTTATCCATAGACAGGCGTGATTTAAATTGAATCTCAAATAATAATTTTTGTTCAAGTGCGGTACGATCAAACGCGTGCTATGTCGTTGAACACGTGCGGGATGATGTTGCATCGCAAAACGTGCGAACGTGCAAATGCGATTTTTATTACCTGCGCGCAAAAAATATTTATTCGTCTAAGGGCTGTTTCTCTTCGCGAAGGGCTGGTGTGTGCGTAGGTGATACAAGGCCGAAACAAAGCCCGACGTCGGTGAAGGATTATGACGATGGCCCTATGCTAACAGCTATGAAAGCAGAGGTTGTATTTCTCTCCTTACCCCTGCTGTGTTTGTTGATTTGTGAGCACGAGCTCTCTCTTGAAATTTTAGGTATATTCTCGAGGACCTAACAATAAAAAAGATGTGTGTGTGTGTGTGTGTGTATGTGTGTGTGTGTGTGTGGTAATCTTCGATACTTCCCCGTTTTGATCCGCTTCGATGCAGTTTATTTTCAATCGTTTGTCGCCGATTAGTTTGTTTTTATCTTCTTTCTGTTTCTCAGATTTATATCCTCTCTAATAAGAATTTTTTTAAAATATTTATTCTATCTTTTTTCTATGTTTTTTTTAAATCCCATAATTTTGGAATGCTGAACATTCCTCGAATTGTTATGTATATATAATTCTTCGGCTTTACTGTAATCTATTTTATACTATCTTTTTTAAATTGGGTATCTATTCCTTGTAAAAACTAGAAAAATCGGGAATTACCAGAGATTTTTTTATTATCTTTATAAATATTCCGAAATTTTATTGAAACTCGAGAAATCTTTTCAAAAATCTTTAATTATTTTATTTAGCATTGCAGAAATACATAAACATATCTAATATATATCTTTACAATATTTGAGTTTATATTAAAAATCTTATGATTTTATTGATAATCATTTTTTAGCATCAAGAGCTTATATAAGTTTCGTAGAAAATCGTTTAATTTTTCAATAATATTTAAATAAATTAATACTCTTTGATCCGTTTAAAATCAATTATTTTTTTTTTATATTTTTGCACTATATCTTTAACATTTAAATATAGTGATACATTGCACTCTGTTATATCCAAATTAATTTTACGATTAATAGATCAATTTGATTAAATGCTAGGAATTGATAATTTACTTCGCAATTATATACGAATAGAAAATATTAGAAAGCACAATGAAAAGCGTGAAAAAAGAAAATTATTTTACAAAGTTGCATCTACAAACTTTCTAACTTTTACTTGAAATTTTGAATGAAAAGATCAGGTACTTGAAAGATCAGGTAATTCTTGGGGAATGTTTTTACAAGATTTGAGTAGACGCTCTGTCAATAAACATCACATTTTTTGATAGCAATAATTAATACGTATAGTTTCGACGTTTCTTTAAATATTACGAGAAATGCTTGATTGCCAAGATCTATGGACGATAAATAACGAACGCAGAGTGCTTTTCATCCGGAATGATTTCGCGTTTTTCTGTTTCGTCTTCGATTCGCTCGCTGACGATGAGGAGGAGGGTTCGTTCACCGATCAAAGTGATCCACGGATCGCATTGTTTGCTGTCATCCTCCGATTCCGGGAAGGCAACGAGGCAGATTGCTTCGCATCGCAAGAATCGTCGAAGGCGTCGTCGTGCGTCATCATGGAATCCAAGGTTCCATGTTGATTCACTCGATGATCGACGCATATTCGCGCACATATTGACCGGGGACTGCGGATTTATCTTTATTGCAGCGACAGAATAAAAACAGGTATATACGTTTGCGAAGGGAGTCAAGGGAGGAAAGAAAACGCACCTTTGGCAAATACAGAAAATTAGCAATTTTTTTTTCAATATCGATTAGAGGAGAAAAAATTAATTAACCGCGCAAGGTTTATCGATTTATTAATTAATATACGCCGATCGCGATAAAACTCTCTTCTCGGTGCATATAGCACGGTTATATATTATCGCACGATATTCCCGCGATTTATTTCTCCTGTTAATCACAGCGTACAGCTAGTCTTATCTGATGTACTGGATCTGCATCCGATAAGGATTTATTGACCGATCAATGCGATTGACTGATAGATTTCCATCGACTTCCACTTCGCAATTCCACGAAAGAAGATCGGCCGGCTGACACTTTCATCGCTGCGAATGTAATCGAGACAGAGATAAAATAACATAGAGAGAGAGAAAGAGGCCTACGTTTCGTGCTTGTTGACTCACTCACGCACTGTACACGTGTTACGGGCCACGACCTTCCAAATTTGATATCGAAAGTTCGAGTGCAGATCGCGGGCGATTCGTCTCTTTTTAACTTGTTTGCTCCTTTTTCTGACCGATGCGAGAGATTACGCAGCGGTGACTTTATACAAGTGCAGAGAAATTAGTCGTTTCTATTACGCAATCGTGTATGTATTTATGCACACACACACACACATACGACGTTATGTAAATTTATTCCAAATTCACGTGCATCAAATAAAAATTTTATTCGTTTGTATACTATTGGGTGAACAGGTTTTAAGCAGGATGTCAAATTGCATCGATCTTTTGGTTAAAAGTAATAGGTGATTATTTGTAATATTATGTTAGACGTTAGTCTTCTGTGCTGTCTAGGGAGACAGAACTTTTTAAGTTACTATCTACAATGCATTAATTTATATTAATAGTATCAATTAATAATAGATATGTTTAATTAATTTATTATATATTAATAGTATCAATTAATAACAGATAATATTATTTCTATAATTATAGAAAAAATAAAAATAAAAATTTGAGCTCTTTTTATTTTTTATTCAGAATCAGTTGAGTGAAATTCTGAAGTAAATCTCAAAATCTTACAAAACTTCTTGAATTTTAATTATCCTTTCAATTTATTAAATTAAAGCCATAACACAGATAAACAAAAGTGTCAGTTTTCAAAATCTCAGTTTGAATCATTATAATTTATGCAATTGTAATACGAAGAAAGAAATTCGAGAACAAACGAATCATTAATAGTGGCGAGAAGTTTTGTGTATGTGTGTGTATAGATCATTTGAGAGAAGTTTACAGTTCATAAATATATCCACATCTCGTTCTACGAATCACGTAGGAGGATAAAACCCTTCCTTCGCACTAGAACAAAATCATATTATGTAATCTATTTATTTCCTATTATGAATTTTTTTTAAACACACTTATTTTGTTCTAGATTAATAATTAATATTATTTTTCACATATAATAATTTTAATCGCGATATAAGACATCTTTGTATCTCTTCTTCAAAGAATCTTTCAAAATGAAAAGATCGATTAACGAAAGCTGATTTTTGCACTAGAACAAAATCATATTATGTAATCTATTTATTTCCTATTATGAATTTTTTTAAACACACTTATTTTGTTCTATATAATTAATATTATTTTTTCACATATAAATAATTTTAATCGCGATATAAGAAATCTTTGTATCTCTTCTTCAAAGAATCTTTCAAAATGAAAAGATCGATTAACGAAAGCTGATTTTCGCACTAGAACAAAATCATATTATGTAATCTATTTATTTCCTATTATGAATTTTTTTTAAACACACACTTATTTTGTTCTATATTAATAATTAATATTATTTTTCACATATAAATAATTTTAATCGCGATATAAGACGTCTTTGTATCTCTTCTTCAAAGAATCTTTCAAAATGAAAAAATCGATTAATGAAAGCTGATTTTCAGCAGGTATAAAATATTCTGTGGAATCGTGTAACTGCGCGTAGTGCGTTACAATTTCTCGCCTAAGATTGTACAATAATTACAAATACACGAGCCGAGAGGTATCACGAGACACGCGTGCAATATACGCAGCTGTCTCTACATCTGAAGGTGATTCCAGCATTTGTTTTCCTTCGCCTATGTCCACGTGCGGTCGCTTTCGATGTGACCATGCCGGCGGAAGTGGCACGTGGTAGATTCCGCTCGAAAAGACTGGGGCAATTGCTTGTCATTCAAGATAATTCATACTCGATTTTACTCCGGTTCGCGTTTATTCTGAGGTTTTAAATATGTCCGATTTTACGTATATATTATATTTTCAACATATAAGATTCGAATTATTCAAGTCGACATTATCAAAATTATATTCGAGGATCGATCTTAATTTTTTAATTTATATTAATTCTTTGATTTCTGATTTATGTTAATTTAATGAACGTAATATAAAGTTTATATTAATAAATTCAACTCGATTGTCAATTTATATTAATTAATACAATATAACAT